TCTTGATGTGCGTTATAACAATAAAAACACAAAGAAATCTTATAAAGAAAATTTTAAAAAGCTAGTAAGAGGAGGGTAAGATTGCACTGCCGTGTCTATTTGGTATTCTACAACAGTCTGGAGTTTGCGGAATCAACTAGAAGATTTGTCTATGGGTAGTCAACAACAGTGTAATATAATCACGTTAGCCATTACAAACAGAACGTTACCTCTGCAACAATTTTCTCTCCATCTGGTACCATGTTGATGAAGCTCTGTATGACCTGAAAGCGTTCCTTTGGTAAATCATTTGAGCTCTGGGTGGCGCTGTAACAGAAGTTATAATAAATAAAGATTAGTCAGTAGGGTAATTTGTTTCAATATAAGCATTCTATAAATTGGAATGTTCTTAATTCAGTGGAATACAATAGACCGTAATATAGGTTCTTTCTATCCCTTATGTATATAACATATTATTTGCCATACTGTATTTAAAATACATAATATGTTCCAACTGTTTTTGGTTTGCAGTGATATGCTGGTGGCAAAGTTGTTAATTTTAATTTTTTTTTATACATGTCAATTGACATTTGTTTGTGTTTAGAAAGAAACACAGAAAATATGCAACATTATATTTTACTTGATTCTAACAAAAATGCATTTCAATTCTCAGTGAATATGCAGGAAAACCAATTGATTGAGCAACATTGCTTAGAATTAATTAGAAGGAAGCCAAGTGATTTTTCCTGCCAAATTACACTTGTAACAAATATTCTTAGGCTTATTACCATAGCAACATAGTAAGTAGCTCCTGTCTGCGAGCTTGACTATGTAAATAAATCTGATTTACATTGTCAGATTCAAAAGGAATCTGAAAAATGTGTTGCATCTACGTGATTACCAGATGTACAGTATTTGGGCTTACGCAACATTCCACTGGTGTTGTACTGAGCGTTTCCCAGTGTTTACAGGCATTTATATTCAATTGCAAATTCTAAGTTAATACTTCCAAATGTGCAGGAATATACCACAGTTTCACAACACAACTGCATATTTGCTTATACTGGTTAACTTACTTTGCATGCCACTTATTTCATATATAAAATAGTTTTTACTTAGATATGCATCTGATTAAGCTTGGGTGACTATAGCCCTGGCAAAAGATATGGAAAACAGAAGACCGCAAAGCTGAAACTTTGCTTTTTGAGGGGTTTTGAATCCGTGTTGGTGCACATGTCAGTTTACTCAAATCCCCAGACACATACAAGTACCTCTGCAGGAGATCTTTTTTACAGATTACAGTGCCTTGGATCGATACAGACATGGCAACATACCACAGATCACAAGTAGTTTAATTACACATGGAAGTAGTAGGATGCACGTTTCATATAAAACCAAGATCTGTCAGCAGTTGGATGATATCTTATGCCATTCAGAAAGAACTGGGTTTGCATGCATGATCACCTTCAGACAAATGGAACCGGCTGGGCCATGAACAAGTATATTCTCCTGGGCACAATGTTCCCGTTCATGTGAATTGAGTAGAAAGGTGGAGATGAGCACTGCTGGCAGGCAATGCCAACTCTGCATATCACAGGGTGGAACAAGAGCAGTTGGCGCAAGTGTTCTAATTAGCTTGACCAATGTTTTAGCTATGAACGACCATCTGATGTTAGAGACTACCCAGAGACAAAATTGAACAGGTCAGGCAACTGTAATCCAGATTTGTTTGTCCATTAATATCCATAGCTGTGCATTGTTTTTAATTCCTACATGCTGCATTTTTGGCACAACTTCCAGTAAGTTTTGTATAGGGATGATGGTACTGTATTTAAAACACATGTAAAAAGAACTGTATATGTGCTTTAATTCACGGAGCAGCACAAAAATCTACCCTACACCCTTAAAAAGACATGCAAAGCATGTAAAATGCAAAAACACACAGAAAAAAAAATACAGTTTAAAGCCACGAAATGTGATAGTGATGGTTTAAACCAAAATAATCCATATTCTGGTTAAAAGTCAATGGGATCAATTCTCTAAGCCACAGGAGTTAGGCAGATAAACTGTACACATCCCAGCGCAAAGGGTTATATTCTGTTTAGTTTATAAGCATTATTGCATTATTTTATCACATGATAGTTCTCAAAAACTGTCCTGTTTATATTGATACATTTGCATAGTGGGGGGAATTCCTATTTTTTGTATGTGGTGTAGCTGTTACAATTACAATACATGCTATGTAGGGCTATTTTAACCACTTGCGGACTGGCATGTTAAACCCCCTTCCTATCCAGACCAATTTTCAGCACTACCATACTTTGACATTTACAAAAAAAAATGGTTTCCTTTCCAACATTCTACAGAATGAAAGTCTGAGGTAATTTTAGTGAATTGACTTTTGCATAAAAATACTGCCAAATGTTGGAAATGTGTTGATCCATGCAATATACCATTTAGCGAATGGAAAAGAATTCTGTGATAAAACGTGATATAAAAATAACGCACAGGGATGAAAATATCACATGCATTAGGCTTTTACGATTTGGCCTTCTTCCCTTGAATAATTGCAACTGTGCTAGTTAAGAGAACAAGAAATGGCACTACATTTGGTTTTGGTGAAATCCACATGAAGTATGAAAGCAAGAAGCCAACTCTATCCTATAAACACTGGAAATTAAAGATGAAGAAGGACTCACATCTGTTCTCCAGCTGCTCCTTTACGGTGATAGAGAACCAATGTACCCAGAATCATGGCTAAGTTTGTTCTGCCAACTCCTGTCTGGCAACTGAAAAGCAGAGCTGGTGGAGGACAGCTGGCATCACGAAGCAGCAAGAGAGATGGGTTTTCCTGAAATACATAAAATAATTGTACAATGTTCACTGAGGTGGTCAGAAATTCATTATTATTCTTTTGTATTACACCTTTCTGTCATTTATGTAAAAAAATAATGTTCTATTTAAATTCACTGGAGAGTTAATACACACAAACCACATATAAATAGTTACTATGGGGTTGCTTTACTAACCTTATAAACACACCACAAACATGTATACACCTCTGTAGTGTGTTCCCTCCCAGCATGATCTATGGGTGGAATCTAAACACCTTTGTAGTGTGTACACACCCAGCAGGTGTGTTGTGCAAAGCCCTGCATGAATTACAAGGTGATGTTGTGTAAATTAGCTCTATGTTGTGTTGCTTGCGTTGATGAATGCAGGAATGTAAATGCATGAGCTAACCATTTTTGTCTAAACTGTGACGCAGCATTATATATGCATCATGTGCATGATTTTTCCATATATGGCATTAGTGGAAATATGCTTTTAGAGACTTTTTGGTTGATAAATACGTTTTGCTGTGTGAAAATCACACGCGCCTGGTGCGTGCGTGTGTTTAGTTTAGTAAATCACCCCCTTTATCTCATGGTTTACAGTATTGGGTGATACATTCACAATTTATACATCTATGGAAATGCTTTCCTAATGCTTTACTTTCACCCCTTCGCTGGTCTTTAGTGTGGATACAGTTTCTGCATTAACAAAGGAAATCTGAGAGCAATGAATGACAGTAACCCATAGAAACCAATCAGCTTAGTGTGCGTTAGACTAATTATAACACGTAAAATCCCCCAACTTCCTTTTTCACACTATGTTTTCTGTTATAAACACAATGAGAAGTAACTTATCTTTAAGTGCTTTAAACAGTGGAATCCATTTATTTATGAATCCTGAACCTTGCTATATACTATAGTATAAAGCAAGCTATTTTTCCATACATATACATTATTTAAACAATTATCGCACATCTTTATGATAGTTTCTATTTAAAAAAATAGGATTAGTAAAGTAAATACACTTGCTAGTGACAATTATGTAGGCAACAGTTCACAAATTTTTTTAGACTTTACTGAATGCATGCTTGCTCCCGCGCAGTGTGCCCTATTAGGTAGTGAATGCTAGAATCAGGATGAAACATGCATATTTTAAATAAGGACTTGCAGCTCTATTCTCACAGAGTCCTTTTAAATGACAAGCGGGTCAGAAAAAGAATCTTTTCTCCCGATGCAGATATCTCATAAGACGGGCAGAGCAATGTGACAAGGGACAACAGATAATAGTGAAAATGTCAAACCTCAAACATCTTCTAGCAGTGCTGTGAATCACCTCCTGGCATTGTCAGCACAGTAGCAAGGCTTCATGCCAAACTCACTTCTTCAAGCACGCTTAATAGTTTAAAATCCTATCTGTTATTCTCATCAGTCGGTGCAATCAATGTGTAAAGCCTAACTCCAGCCAAAAATGTTTTTTCTGGGTTTTGTGGGAAAAGAGTTAAAAATGATGTCAGGTTTTTATCTCTGGGATCCCATTGGGGAGATTGTTCCTTACTTTCTGTTCTTGTGATGGCTGTACAAGAAGTAAGAATTGCAACTGTCACCAAAACAGGAAGGCACAGATCTCAATAAAAAATTGTTATTTCTAACCTTTGCCTGCTTTACTATAAATATGTTTTTCTGTGTGCCCCTGTTGGAGAAATTTCCCCTCAAATCCTGTCCTGACATAAAGGGAGGGAAAATCTTCCCAATTAGGGACAGATAGGCGTCCAAGAAGCCTGACAGAGGTTTGAACACTTTCCCCCTATATCCAAGGTGAAATTAAAAGTTTGGCAGAAGTTAGGCCTTAATTACTGTAAATGTAGAGAAAGCACGACCGTAATGGAAACAAAAATAATTTCCAAGATTGCAGTGCAATCGTCATTATATTCATATTAGAGTACCCCAGTGTGTTCATCTGCACCACCTTAATTACCTTACTACCTGGTATCCTGCTATTGTTCACAGTTCAGAGCTGAATTTCTGGAGGATATATGTACCACTAACTTAATGGTAATAAATGAATATTTCATTTTTACCTGCCTTTGGTTTATATTGGTGTGGCACGCAAATAGTTTCATACCTAACTGTCCCTCATAAGGAAGGACTGTCCCTCATTTGGAACCAAATCCCAATGTCCCCTTTACCTCCTCATTTGTCCTTGTTTTGGGTCTCATTTGTCATTTGTCCTTGTTTTTGGTCTGACATACAGATATACATGAAAATTTACTATTTAATGACCAAGTGTTATTCTGCACTAAAACCTTTATCTTAACTCTTAATGACCTTGTTTGCTTTTTCAAAAACAATTCTGGGTTTAACTAAACATTTTTGGCATATAACAATTTGTGAAATTTATCAAAACTAGTGCAGGCAAAATCTGGAGCATCTGTGCATGGCAACCAATCAGCTTCTCTCTTAACTGAACAAACTGAAGAGAAGCTGATTGTCCTCTATTGTGCTGGAAGGTGTCCCGCTTTCTCATCTCATATCATACAATCAATAATGAAACCATAAAATCACACACGTCTAGTTTGCTACACGGGTAGGTCATTTGTGCCCAATTTATAGGTTTTCAGAAAATGTGTTTTTGTCATGGATCGTAAAAATGTTTTGTGAAGTATTTCCTCTAGTAATGCATTAAATTTAAAAAAAATTCTATTCTAAAATAAAAGGAAGGGAAAACCCTATTTGTGCAGAAAATATACATCACATTGCACTAGGTTTCCATGTTTAGGAATTATATTAAAATGACAACAAGCACAACTTTTACACCATACTTACAAATATTCCAGTATATAGACCAACCAGAGAAAGGGGAAGAGGAGTGGATGCTTTACTTACCCTGAGAAAATGTACAAAAGCATCAAACTGGGGTTCTAGAGGTGCACCATCAACAGGCAAGGGTAAACGATGGTACCTGGAAGTATAGACAAAACAATCAGCTTTTCTGAAAATTATTAAATGTTTATTAAAAGAAACTGTGAACTAGTCACTATGCTAGGACATTGGAATTACAGAAGTAAAAAACTCAGTGAGATATAATACACGAGACAGACGTTCTTTGAAAGCGAAGCAGGTTTTTCTGGTACCTGTAGGATGGCAGTAAGAACACAGGTCTGTTGTATACTTCTTCTGTTACATGTGTATCTTCTTCACAATCAATCTTAACGGAGTGAGGCTCATCTTTAAAATGTTCAATGTCATTATATACAAAATAATTGTTCCCACTCAGCTGAGCAAAGTCGTAAATCTTCAAAAAGAAAAGAAAAAATAACTGTACAAACAATGTAAAAAAGCAGAAGAACAAATATAAATGGGCCAGTCTGTCGACCACTAACTTTCATTACAACAAATACAGATGGATTCAGAAGAAACAAGTATTTTTACGGTAGAAAAAATTAAGTTACTTTCTATAGTGTATGACCAATGAATTCTCACCCAATTATATCCAGAAATGTCTAAAGTGCAGTTAAGGGTTTAGGACAACATAAATGTATTGATATACCATACCCCTATTCAAAACATTAAGAAGTATTGCTGGAATATACAGCCACAGTACAGCAAACACTGCATCTGCAGTGCAGTGTCTATATACCCTAATATGATTTTTAGTTATGACCCCTTTCACGCGGGTGGCCTTGTTCCCAACCAGAAGGGGATCTGTGCCTTTAAATAGTTCCTGAATTTTAAATAAAGTTACTTATATACCCATGCTATGTTCATGGTTTCTATTTTGAGCATACTTGTATATACACATGGAAAACAAAATCTGAACCCTAAAAACTCTCTTAGTAATCAAATGTGCAGTTAGTATACCTCTCTTCGAATACCAAGTTCCAGATTCTCCACTCGCTGACCTTTCTCCAAATTGTGCAAATTTTCATGCAAATTCTCCTTTCTTCTAGGAGTATAAGGCACAAAGTCACCTTCTAACTTCAGGAACACAACTGGCTCCTCACGGACACAAAAGAACGTACATTCCTTCAGAAAAATAAAAATAAAAATATATATGTGAAATACACAGTAAATGTAATTGTTAAGGAGAACTATGGGGTCAGGGCTTTTCCCTATAGTTCTACTGAACACAAACTAGCGTTCTCCCGTGACCCATAGCTCAGTATACCGCGAGCTACAGCTCGCGGTATACCGAGACGCCGCAGCAGGGACGGATCTCGACAATACTGTCTGGATCCACCCAGCTGCGGGATTGACAGCTGGCTCTGCCTATCTAGAGGCTGAGCTAGCTGTGCCCACCCCCTCACCCGTCCGTTTCACCAGTCAGCGCTGGAGGATCGGACAGGGGAGGGGGGGGGGACACCTGCAGGGAGCCGTGAGTGACGGTCACCGTTCTCTGCAAGGATAGATCGAGAAGTGAGCGAGCAGTATGTGTTCACCCGCCTCATAATTCTCCTTTGAAAGGACTCCCTGCATCAAAATGCAAGATCTGCTTATTAGTTAGCACTCCCCCCATGTCAAATTCTGTATTAAAAAAATACACAAGCACACACGTTAGGAGAATTTACAAAAAACATACTTGCCTTACATCACCTACAATTGCCTACAGTCCCTAGGCAGTGGTGACATCATGGACCAGTGGTGGCAAACCTTGGCACTCCAGCTGTGCCAAAACTACAAATCCCAACATGCATCTGGCTCTGGGAGTTATGTCTGTGGCTGTCAGAGCCTTGCAATGCCTCAGGGGACTTGTAGTTCCAAAACAGCTGGAGTGTCAAGGTTCGCCACCACTGTCATAGACATTCCGCTGAGATGCTGACAATACTGAGCATCCCAAACTTCAATGAAGAAACTCCTACGTAATGCTGGAGCATCTTCTCATGAGATTTAATCACCATTCCAATGATCCTCTCGGAAGGCCTCTAATGTTGCTCTATGTTAGGCACCATGGGCAGAAGTCAGGGTGTAAGATAAATATATTTTAAAACTTTTTTCCTGATCTTTGCTTATTGTTATGCAGTGTTTTTACATGGGGAAGGGGAGCGGCAGTGTAACTACTAAGTGGACCTTGCATTACGATGTAAGGTCTGCTTTAACCACTCTAGGTAATGCCGTGTATTACAATATTCCATAACTAAATATTATTTTTAAAATGTCTCATTTTGAAACTGCAGTGCCTTATATTGTTACGAAAAAATGCTTAAAGCCCTTAGAAAAATGTATTTACATTATTTGTACATTTACTGATTTGTAACTTTTCTTTAATGCCCAAATGTTAATAGCGGGGAAGGTTAAAACCTCTGCTGCCAGTAATTTCTTTCTGTTTCATCTCATTTCTGACACCCATGACAGGTGTCACCATGTCAGGAACTGGGGCACAGACAGCAGTTAAAACGGGACAGAGGTTCTAACCTTTTTCTACTTTACCCAAAGTTTTGGCTGGGTGTCACTTAAACACAAGGTTATATAAACCACTTATCTATATTTTCCATTACTGTAGTGATGAGGTCTATTGTTCTTGCTTTCAGACAGATTAAGCAGGCCTAGTAATGGACAGGCATACAAGTGGGTGGTAGAATTGCAAAGCTGGTCTAAAATCATTACACAAAGGGCTTGAAAACCAAGAAAATTTTCTGAAATGTTTTTCAGCATTGTCCAAACATTTGCTTTTAAAGACTACTGTTGCCAAAACAATGGTGCAGTCAGCTGTATTATGCACCATACCCTGAATGGTGTTTTCTATTACAGAACTATCTGTGTGAGTACATTTTCTGTAGGAATAATTTACCACACCTAAACATTGCATACAAAGTATCTCACAGAAGTGAGTACACCCCTCACATTTTTGTAAATATTTTATTATATCATTTCATGTGACGACAAAGAAGAAATGACACTTTGCTACAATGTAAAGAAGTGAATCCATGCTTGACTGTAGGCAAGACACACTTGTCTTTGTACTACTCACCTGGTTGCCGCCACACACGTTTGACACCATCTGAACCACATAAGTTTATCTTGGTCTCATCAGACCACAGGACATGGTTCCAGTAATCCATGTCCTTAGTCTGCTTGTCTTCAGCAAACTGTTTGCGGGGTTTCTTGTGCATTATCTTTAGAAGAGGCTTTCTTCTGGGACGACAGCCATGCAGACCATTTTGATGCAGTGTGCGGTGTATGGTCTGAGCACTGACAGGCTGACCCCTTCAACCTCTTCAGCAATGCTGGCAGCACTCATACGTCTATTTCCCAAAGTCAACCTCTGCATATGACACTGAGCACGTGCACTCAACTTCTTTGGTCGACCATGGCAAGGCCTGTTCTGAGTGGAACCTGTCCTGTTAAACCGCTGTATGGTCTTGGCCACTGTGCTCCAGCTCAGTTTCAGGGTCTTGGCAATCTTTTTATAGCCTAGGCTATCTTTATGTAGAGCAACAATTCTTTTTTTCAGATCCTCATGAGTTGCCATGTTGAACTTCCAGTGACCAGTATGAGAGAGAGCGATAACACCAAATTTAAAACACACCTGCTCCCCATTCACACCTGAGACCTTTTAACACTGACGAGTCACGTGACACCGGGGAGGGAAAATGGCTAATTGGGCCCAATTTGGACATTTTCACTTTTTTGCCAGCGGTTTAGACATTATTGGCTGTGTGTTGAGTTATTTTGAGGGGACAGCAAATGTACACTGATATACTTCTTTAGGCCTGGTTCATACCTGGGCGTTTTGTAGCGCGTTCGAACGCTCTGCAAAACGCTCAAACACCGAAATCCCATTATTTCCTATGGGTATGGTTCACACCTGGGCGTATTACAGGCCGTATGAACGCGCTACAAAACGCCCTACGCCCAAAGAAGTACATGAGCTTCTTTGGGGCGTTTTTGTCGCACTATTCGATTGGGCTACAGCCAAGTAGCCCTCTGAAACGCGCGTTTGTCGACAAACGCGCATATTCGACACGCCTAGGTGTGAACCCAGCCTTACATCGTAGCAAAGTGTAATTTCTTCTGTGTCGTCACATGAAATGATATAATAAAATATTTACAAAAATGTGAGGGGTGTACTCACTTCTCTGAGATACTGTAACTGCAGATGAAAGTCAATCAGACAATTGTCATGGTATAGTTTCTGTTGTCTGTGTGATTAGTAAATAAAGCCATGCTTGTCTCCAAGTTTCATACCTTATGTCCATCGTTCTGTAGCTTCTGCAACACTTGTTTGAAACCATTAAGGCTGGGCTGCCCCATTCCATAGACTTCATAACCTCCTTTGGCTTGACGGAAATTAGGCGCCCCACAACTACTTGTTGTGTTTAAAACATCTAGCTTGCTGTACACATCATGAACCATGAAATATTTACCCTAACACAAAAAAAACATGTATAAGTCATATGTAACTGATAATGGTATGACATTTTAAAAGAAAACCTAGAACAGCGAAATACGGACATTGCCATTGCTGATCTCATTTTGAAAATTCTACTTGCCGAGCTTTCACTGATTTCAATACTTTCTCAATCACTGGTCTAGAATAGGTATGCAGCATGTGAATGCAGTCTCTTCTTATATGTGCTAGGTTAGTGACCCAAAAAGTAACGAAACCATATGTTCAGGCAACAAGCATTTTCAGAAGTCAGCTAAGGTAGTTTTCATTTCGCTCTCAATACAGATTTCCTTTAACAGGTAAACAAATCCTTACACACTATATTATTAGTAGCCACCACCCATGGCATGCACCTATTTTAGACTACCATTTAAACAAACCTGCGCTTACTTAAGGTGGCCATACACCTTACAACCATCGCACGACTTTCGTAAGGTAATTAAAATCTCGTACAATCTGCCCATCTTGGACAGGCAGATCGTACTTGCGATCATCGCAAGCCCTCCCCGCCGAGGGCAGGGCTTCCAATTATTCCAATGCTGAGCGGGCAGCGTGCGCTTGCGCACACCGGCCCGTTCGGCATTTGTCTTCCGAGCATGCCACTAACCCGCTGAAAATCGTACGATTCTCGGCGGGTTTTCGAGCGTGCTCGGAAGACAAAAGACGTGCGATCGTACAGTAGAAACGGTTGCACGCCTTCCATACACCTGCCGATTATCGTACGATAAACAGCATGTGCTTGGGCACCTTTACTCACCAACTTACACAATTGAGCTTTAGTTTTATCATATTTTTTTTTAAATCACAAATGACAAATTTAAAGAAAGATCTGTCAAGTGTGCACACCCCACACCACAGTCAGCGCTCTGGTTCATGCTGCACATGGGAGACAACTTCTTTCCTGATTCTTCTTTTCTTAGCAGAACCATTGGCTTTTTCAATGTAGTAATGTGGCAGCAAAATGATAATGTAGGCAATGCAAGTGTCTTACCTGTATAGTATTCTTGTGTGGCAAAAATCTGTGGTTAAGGAAACAGTGAACACATTTCTCACAATTGCACTGTGGCCCTGACCTTTCTGCTCTCCTCGTCTCACAAGTGGCCAGTTAGGCCGCTTATCACACTTTTTGGGTCAACAGCTTGATGAGCAGAGCACAGCATTTCCACGAAAGTTGTGGTGGCTTTTTCTGTAATAAAACATCCCAGGTTTTGAAAGTACCAGGATGCTATAAAAAAATAAAAGCACTGTGTGTGCCAACACCGGAAAAAGGTACCTGCATCATCACCCTAATAACACCACACAAACACATTAAAAATCAAACTCCATTCAAATATATTTTTTAGGATAAAGTAAGGGTCCATTTACACCAGCAAGCTGCACTGATAAGTAGCAGTGCTGATCCCAAGGCATTGCACCCTTTCCTTTTTTTCTTAGAACTTTATTGAAATGTCATTAAGTTCTAGGGGCCACAGTGTCATGCAATGTGTTTGTACAACGTTGTATTATGCTGCACTGAAAAAAGTACTGCACACACCCCTGCAACATGGTGTTGTGAACCAAGTCAATTTAAAACAAGCCAAATTGCCTTGTCTGTGCATTGAGGCTGTGCTGAGAAAAGGCATCCAGCACAGCCCAAAAGTACTTGGTGTGAACACACCCTAAAGAAGGGATTAAATATGCAGGCTTTTACTGCTGCTCTTAATACATTTCCCTTCATTTCTGGTTCTAGCAATGATAGTCACCATGTGCAATGATCTCTCCAATGGGGACACATGAAGTGTGGATGGGTTACAAGCTCTGTCTGATTTTAATTCGGTCTACATCCACATTTGGAGATGGCCTCACTTCCGTTCAGGTGACAGGGATTGCAATGGGAAGCAGTAAAAAGAAATCTCCCCAACAGATATCCAGACCGCAATAAAAACCTTCACTCTATCTAAAGCTAAGAAACGTTTTGGCTGTAGTTACAATTTAAGAGAGTTTTAGCTGGCCTAGGTCTGACAATCTTAGACTTTACCTGTACAAGATAGTGTTCTGGCATTGTCTCAGAAATCCTTCCAACAGAGTAACTTGCTTTAAGAAAATCATTGTGAATCTGAAACTCTTCTTTACAATTGTACCTGAAATAAAAGACATCATGTTCAGCTCACCTTCACTACAGATTACCATTTACAACAAAACTTGTACAGCAAATCACTTCATATTACATACTCCATCCAGATAATAAACAAAAATCTGACATTGGCCTATTAAAATGCAAAATATAAATCACAAAATAGAATTAGATTAATAAAAAAATTATCTTATAATAAAGCACTTGATTGAAATGATGAAATATAAAGTGAAAATTATATTTCGCTTCCTGCAGATCTACCAATATGTAAGGCCAAGTGTGTGTGGCTGAAGTGCTGCCACAATACCTATGCAGAATAAGTAAGTGCTCCTGCTTATTATAATACATATGGTATTGTAGTATGGCATTTTTAGAGGGTTAGCTCCGCCTTTGAAGTATACCCTTCAATGGACTTTAGTGGGACAACACAACATAAATGCAGCATGTAGGACTTTTCCCCAGCACAGCAATACAGGGAGCTAGTTGGAATGGGTATTATAGAAGTAATCAGTTTTCTTTGGTCCATTCATTTTGCTCATGTTATGAAACAAAACGAAATGCATGACAACGCAGTCAGCAAAGCCTGCTAAGGCAAAGCAGCACACCTTAGATTACAGACACATAGGTGGTTATTATTTGGCTGTGTATCTGCAGTAAATCAAATGTGGCTACTATGATGTAGTCTTATAGCTGTTTAAAAAAAATACAAAATAGACTGTAGTTTCCATTGAAAGCATACCTGTTATAAGAGAAACACAAACAGGCACTGTTAACTAACTTCAATGAAATAATCTTTGGAAAATATGTTCAATGATTATCTCACTACAAAAAATCCTTATCAGACTGCAATTCCTGGCATGAAATCATATGTAATGCATTTTAGTTCAGTACTTACGTTATAACTACAGGGGCAACTTTATTGGTGATGATGGATTTTGCTTTGTTGTGGTGGCCCGCTGTCTGGAATGAATGAATGCTTAGGCTGTTTCTGTCTTCTCCACTTGAACTTCCACTGCCATTTCCTTGGATGCTGTCACTGGGGGGCACTATTGGGGCTGGCTGCTGAGCTGCACTGGCAGTTGTACCCATACTCCACAAGCGCCTACAGATGAGATATAACAATGCACAAGAATAAGTCTAAATTAGGATAAGCAAAAGTAAAAACATGCAGGAATCTTTACCTGGATATGCACAGTGATTTATTACCAAAACATAATAAAAAATAGGAGCCAAAATTATCCTATTCTCATTGCATACACACAAAGCACACATTTTAATCTCAATATTATTTGTAAACAATCTAAATTGCACATAAGGCCATCAAATGTTTGTATGTAGTAATAAAATACAAAACAATGCCAGACTGATAAATAGGCTTGGATGACAGATCTGATGTCATCTCACACATATATTAAGAGAAATAAATTACATAAGACAGGAAAGCCTAAGAGAGGAATCATTTACTTCCTTCTTCCTGTTCTATCTGTATCTCCTGCAGTACACAAAAAAGGATGACCGCACCAGCTTTCTAATTTAAAGTTTAGAACCGATTTCCTATGAGTAAACATGCTGACTGCTGTTGCCAATAAATCACAAAACAAAAGGTGCTGAAAATTCATATGTTAGTGCTTACACAGTATTAAAAGTTTAGAAGGTGCATAAACATGAGACCCTGATTAGTATACAAAAACTAATTTAATAGGAAAAATTAGAGCTGCTGTTGACCATCGCTACCAATGAAGACCTGCACTACAAAAACCACTGCTTGCCACAGAAATCAGATTCGGGTTTTTGCTTCAGCCCTCAGTTTGCTTCTGGCAATGGTGTAGTGAATGGAAACTGCATTGTTCAGTATTATATCGGTTTCCAAATGCTGATCTAGAATTCAAATGAGAAAAATGCAATGCTCTGTCCTGTGAATAAAGAGTTAATGTACAGGTGTACCGTTTTAAAAATAGAGCTCCCCCACCTGTCTAGCATGCACATACACGGACCTCAGATACAGTATGGTCCTGTTCCCCACTGTTTGGCCAACTTTTCCACACCTCTCTATAGAACCCGTAGACATAGCATTACACTGCAGGTCAGGCACCCAGCTTGAAAAATGGGAATACTATCCCATGAGGCAGAGGGCCCGGCAGTAGGAAGCGGGTTTGGGTTGCATCTGAGATCTGTGTAGAGGTATACCACATTGGGTTCCTCCACCCACCACCTTAGACGTTTTTTTTTTTAAACTAAAGTTCTTTAACTCTTTATTCACAGAACAGAACATTGTATTTGTCTCCAATTAATTCTCAATTACATTTTTAAAACAAAAGCACATTTGTAGTTTAACACTTTATTAATACATCGAAACAGAGTATAAAATATTTCATAGACACTCGTGAGAACGGAAGTATGGGACATGTCACAGACTACTATAGCTTAGCCCAGTGACATGAGTAAGCGTTTGCCGGAGATGGAAAATGACGTCATTCGAGCAAGGTGCTCTGCTGTTTTCAGCATGGACACGCATGTCAGAAATAAGAGCAAGTCTGGGCTAGTGGCATCATGGCAATAGAATACAGGGAAATCCTTGTGAGGGGAAGAGAATGGATTATTTTGATGTGGACTACAAAATATATGTACTATATTCAGGTTAATGGCATGAAGAATGTGAAGTGTGATGTCCATGTCCCAAAAAGTGATGAAAGGTTCAAAGGGAAAAAGTAATGTGCATACTCAATGAAACTGTCAACTGCTCCAGAGAGAAGCATAGGGAACTGCAAAAGTGAACCAATAAGGATCACCAAAGTCAAAAGGAAGGAGGGAAGACCGAAAAGTGAAAACAAAGAATGTATCAGAACTGGAGCAGACAAAATTTGGAGCAGTTGTGCAGGGCAACCAATCAGCTTCTCTCTCTCATTTTCAAATCTAAACTGAACAAACTAAAGAGAGAAGCTGATTGGTTCTCATGCACAGCTGCTCCAGATTTTGTCTGCTCCAATTTTTATAAATTCCCCCCAGAATGTCTCTGAATAAAATGATTACCATTTTGCATGCACAATTAGTATAAATGATTTTAGATGAGACAAAAAATTATACTTCTAACCTTCTTGTGTAGTAACATTCTAAAACATAAGCCTTTGCAGCATGCTCGCTAATTACACAATTCTGTCTAGTGCAATATGAAAACTAGCAGACAAGAAGACTGGTTATCTCCTAGCAAAAAAAAAAGTGCTCATAGGCTTGCTAGCAATATAGTGGATTGTTCCAAGTGGCATACCTGATAAATTGTGCCATTATCTAAACCAAATACAATAGCATCTATGCTACAAAAATCTACATTATTTGTTTTTAGATGTTAAAATTTGGTGTGAGGTTTGAGGAATGGAATTTTGCTTTACATGTGACATTTAGCTGTATAGCTGCTGCACACTGTTGCCAGCACAGTTCTCAGAAGTCACTTTTCTGTGATACAATCCCACTATCTGTATGCATTGCTAGAATTTTAGCAAACTTTGTTACAAATTCCTACCTTTCTCTGCTTAGAAGAAACGGATGTTTACCCAATCATGTCCTTTGTCAATCTGACTGGGAGTGTCGAAGCACCTATGCAATCTCGGTGTTGTAGAGAAGCACCAGCTCAATTTCCTATAGCCATACAGGATCCTAGAGTTACCTCAACTATTGCAGGGGATGCTTCTAATGACAATACGCTGTAGGCAGACTTAAGTGAAAGCAGTGATGCAATGACCTGTCCCAGTATGCAATATTTCAGGAAGGCGACTTTTAAATTCTTTGGTTTTAGAAAAACATAGCACCTACAGATTGAAATGTAAGGATTATTTTAGTAATGTTAAATTACAAAATTACATATATGTCAATTACTGAATTCATTTTTATCAATAATATAGCAAAAGCGTTTTTTTTCTAAAACATTGAGAACTGTAAATGGGTTGAATTCTTAAGCCCTCAGGGGCAGGCACCCTTTACTATCTTGTCTTGAATTGTATTGCGATTGTCATGTCTTCCTTATATTGTAAAGCACTGCGCAAACTGTTGACGGTATAAAAATCCTGTATGATAATAATACTCATTGCAAAAGAAATGCACAAACAAGCATTTCCTAATGCACCACTGAACCTGCAATGACTTTATTAGCCCACATATCAGAGTATAGATAACCTGTGAAATGCTGTAGCCGCCATCAAATAACAGTGATGTTGGGAGTAATGTGCTCAGCTTCTATGCCTTTCATCTTGACTATGGCTCTTAGAAACAACCTGGCCATAGAGTTGAAGTAGGGCACATAAATAAAAAAAAGCAAAACATGCCATGTTCTTTTAAGGCAGGTATCTATTAGTAATGGAAGTCTGGTAACTGGGCATTACCTTTACAACGTTTTTACTAAAAGTATTAGCAGACAGATTAGCCTTACTAATGTCTCTGATGCCATGTACAGCTGGTATATACTGTATACCTCACATTTACTAGCAGGTCCTACTCTTAGTTAATCTTGTTTTACAGAAAAAATTACCTGCAACTTGATTTTAGAAAATCAGCCATATACTATGATACAATTCATTCCCATGTTTGTTCACCATAGGCGTAATGTTCTTGTCGAACATCAAGAGAGGTATGGAAAACAAATGTTGTTACACTAAATTACCAATATCGCCCTACTGGCCAAAACCCAGTGTGAAGTAACCATCTTGGACAAAATAAAGTACATCAGGAAGGATTGCTAGAATTAACCAACACTGACTATTAATAATGCCTTTATTTTTTATTGTGTCCATATGAGGATGCCATTTGTCAGGCATTTCCTGCTCCTGCTATCACTGAGCAACACACTTGTAGACTGGTAATAATGGTAATTGCCTTACATTGTCCTGTGCTCCCAGACCCCATCTTCTGAGGAAGTACTCCTTCCATTTTGTATGTTATATATGGGACTTCCTTTCTGCTGTCACAAAAACAACTTTACAACTATACTGACAAATGACATAATTAGTTTTATGTACAAAATGTATACAGCATCCAAAATATGCGCACACATTTTTCAGTGGTGGAGAACACCAAGTTGTGCTTCTAATACTTGACTCAAATTTGTCCTGAAAACTGTCGAATTAGTCTACTGTAGAGGGCCAGAATAGTTCTGGCTGATACCTCAGTGTAGTGGTTGGTTAGAAACCTGTATATGCTTCTGATTTCTAGCTGGGATATTGGGACCTGCTGGGATTTCAAATAAGTGTGATTGGCACAGCTGTTCTCTTTACAAATAAACAACTGTTATGGTGCCCATACACCTTACAACGATCGCAAGTCTTTTGTATTGCGATGGTTGTAAGCTAATTAACAGCTCGTACGATCTGCCTATCTTGGACAGGCAGATCGTACTTGCGATCTTCGAAGGCCCGCCCCTCCGATGACTGCAATGCTGAACAGGCAGTGTGCGCTTGCGCACACCGGCCCGTTCGGCATTTGTCTTACGAGCAGGCCATAAACCCGCCGACAATCGTACAATTCTCGGCAGGTTTTCAAGCCTGCTCATAAGACAAAAGATGTGCGACCGTACAGTAGAAACGGTTGCACTCCTTCCATACACCTTGCGATTCTCGTACGATAATCGCAAGGTATATGGGCACCTTTAGACGTGTCCATTTATATCCGATTGCTTCCAATCTGTCCCTTTTCAAGTCCGCCAACACAGAACATTGTTCCATTTTATTTTCACACTTCGATGGACTCGGAGGTTATCAAAAGTAGTGCGTATACACCTGACTCCTCATAGACTTACATTGAGCTTCCCATCAGATCTGCCTGAGAAGTTGATGGGAGGACCTGATCGGAAGGCCATGTGAAAGAGGCCTAAAAAGAAGACAATAAACCTAAGTGCATAGCATTACTAGTCGTGTTGAATACAGACACTGATATTGTAGGCCTAGCCTTTCATAGGAGGTGTTGTGTCTCCTATGGGCTTGCCATTTGTGGCTCTCTTTCATGGATAAGAGAATTGACTATTAAATAACAGCGAAACAGGTTAATCCCAATTGCATTTTTTTAGAGATCACCTGAAGCCCAAACAAAGACTGACCAAATTCATGTTCCCAGAAACTA